TTTTTTTTTTTTTTTTTTAACACAGAAGTTACTCTTTAATTTTTGCTTCAAGAAGCAGGGATCAGTGACTACAGATCTCATACTATTAAGAATTCGTAGAAGGGAAATTTCATAATTAAATTGAAAGATTATTTTTAAATTTTTATTAAAGTATAGTTGATTTACAATGTTGTGTTAGTTTCAGGTATATAGAAGAGTGATATATACACACACACACACACACACACACACACACACACACACATATATATATATATATATACATACACACATATATATACTCTTTTTCAGATTCTTCTCCATTATAGGTTATTACAAGATATTGAGTATAGCTCCCTGTGCTTTCCTTTAATCTTGACATTGGTAATTTGTATCTTGATGTCCTTAGCTATAAATTTATCAGTTGTATTTGAAAAGACCAGTATTTTGCTTTCAGTGATTTTCTCTGTTCATCTTGTATTTCACTGATTTCTGCTCTTTATAATTTTCTTCCTTCTATTTATATTGGGTTTACGTTGCTCTTCTTTTTCTGGTTTCTTAAGATGAGAATTTAGATAATTATTTTTAGATCTTTTTGCCTTTTCTAATATAAACACTTAAAGTGGTAAACTGTCCCCTAAGTGCTGCTTTACCTGCATGACACAAAGTTTGACACACTGTATCTTCATTATTGTTCAGGGAAAAATATTTTCTAATTCCCCTTGTGATTTCTTCTTCGATTCGTGAGTTATTTAGAAGTATGCTGCTTAGGGACTTCCCTGGCAGTCCAGTGGTTAAGACTTCACCTTCCAATGTCGGGGATGCAGGTTCGATCCCTGGTCGGGGAACTAGGATCCCACATGCCTCAGGGACAAAGGACCAAAATATAAAACAGAAGCAATACTGTAGCACAGTATTGCTTTAAAAGTGGTCCACATTAAAAAATCTTAAAAAAAAAAAAAGTATGTTGCTTAATTCCAAGTATTTGAGGATTTCCCAGTGATATTATTCTCAGTTGATCTCTATTTAATTCTTTTTTTTTTGGTATCATAAAACATATCCTGTATGATTTTAATTTTTAAAAATCTGTTATGACTTGTTTTATGGCCCAGTACCTAATCTATCTTAATGAACATCCCATGTACACTTGGAAAGAACATGTATTTTGTGGTTGTTGGGGGTAGTGTTCTATAAATATCAATTAGGTCAGAATGGTTGATGGTGTTGTTTGTATCTTCTATATCTTTGCTGATATTTTATGTAGCTGTTCTATCAATTACTTAGAGAGGGTTACTGAAATCTTCATCTGTGATTGTGAAATTGTCTGTTTCTCCCTCTAATCTGTCCATTTCTGCTGCCTGTATACTAAAGCTCTGTTATTAGGTACATAGACATTTATGATTTTTAAAACTTCCTGATGAATTGACCTTTTTTTAAATCACTGTGCAATGTAATAATCTTACCAACATTGGTATTATTTTCCCAACATCTTTTAGTTCTCCTTTATAATTACTTTAAATTCTCCATAATACCACTTAGGTTTGAACTTTAAAGGATGCAGACCTCTAAATGTCCTTTCCACTTGTACTAAAATGCCATTATCTCCTCCCAGCTCTTGCACACTGAAGATCCTAGATAGCTCTAAATTAATATTAAAGGAAGAACTGTTTAGTAACCTGTATGTTGGCAAAATTTTTATTAACCTTTCTCACAGTTGCTGGGTTTTGTGATATTCCACACAGGCAGAGATTATTTGGGGCAAATGGCTAACTACAGAATATTAAGTGGAGGGATCAATGCTGAGTGATTTTTTAAATGATCTGTTTCAAGAGATACATCAGATTTCAAGTTGATCTCCAGGAAGTGGAGGGCTGAAAGTTAGTATGCATCGACACTAAAATTCAAGTAAATGACAACTAGAGAACCACACACAGATTTCAATTTTTTACAGAAGAATTTAAAACACAGTCATTATTTCATTTCAGAGCAAATGAGGCAGAAACATTTCAGTTCTGAAACTATGACAGAGCATTCAGCAATATGACATTTACCCCTAGATGTTTACTATTATGTAGCTTTGATTTTCTAAATGTATTTGAATCATACAAATATCTACATGCTTTTTTCCTCTCAGTTATTTGGGAAACTTCAAAAAGGGTAGTCACACCCAGAGCTCTTTAAGCATTTGGCTAGAATTTAATCTGAATAAACTGTGTCGTGAGCAAGTATAGAAAAACATTTATGGGCTTAAACAGCTCAGTGATCCCTACTGGTCCATAACTGTTCTAAATATCTGTAATTTTCAAAAGTTGTGTCAATGTACCTAAGAAAACTGTAAAGACAAAATAAAACATTGGGGCCTGAGCACCTACTGTGGTTAACTACCCAAACCCATGGGGGCATTTTGGTAGAGAGCCACCTACAGAGCAAGCAAACCCAAATATGTACTGAGGGCCCACAAAGTAACAGCTGATTCCTCACAGTTATTAAATTTAATCTTCATAAAAACACTATGGTATTGTTGCATTCCTTTTGCAGATGTAGAACCAGGCTTTGAAAGATTAAGTGGCTCACCAAAGGCGACATGGTCATAAGTGGTAGCTATGGGATTTGAACCCAGATCTCCTGACACTAGATGTGGTATTTGCTCTACTTTGCCAGAGAAACCTATAGATCAGGAGTTGGCAAACTTTTTCTGTAAAGGGCCAGATCCTTTAAGCTTTGCAAACCATACGGTCTCTTAACTCCGTTCTTGTAGTAAGTAAACAGCCATAGATAATATGTAAGTAAATGAGTATAGCTGTGTTCCAATAACAGGTGGTGGACTGGTCCAGGGGTTGTGGCCCAGGGGCTTTGGCCCAGGGGTTGTGGTTTGCTGATCCCCGCTACAGATTAAAACATACAAGCAAACCATAAAAGAATTAGGCTCTAAAGTTTCCCATCTACTGACTTTCAGAGACATTTTCATTACTGCTCCCTTACTCTACTCAATGACACACAATAATTATGATTTCACTGTAAATTCATCTTCCAGTTCCTAGGTCTTCCACAGTGCCAACTTTCCTCTCTCTAACACAAATTCTAGCTTTGATGATGATCACTTTACGGGAGTGATCAAAACCTTTTTTTTTTTAAACAGTGAGGACCAATGAAGGAAAACAGATTTTTTCCCCCTCTGCTCAGTAATAATACCTTTACTGGATCCCAAAATGAAAAAACAATTTTCTGCTTTACTGAATACATTTAAATGCTAATGAAAAATTGGTACTTCTTTTTAGTTATCAAAATGCTAACGTGGAGCAAGAGAGTCATCTTTCTAACCTTCCATGTGCTTTAGGATTCAAAACATGTCTTTTTTTTTTTTTTTTTTTTTAGATTTTGGGGGTAGGAGTTTATTAATTTATTTATTTATTTTTGGCTGTGTTAGGTCTTCGTTTCTGTGCGAGGGCTTCCTCTAGTTGTGGCAAGCAGGGCCACTCTTCATCGCGGTGCGCGGGCCTCTCACTATTGCGGCCTCTCTCGTTGCGGAGCACAGGCTCCAGATGCGCAGGCTCAGTAGTTGTGGCTCACAAGCCTAGTTGCTCCGCGGCATGTGGGATCCTCCCAGACCAGGGCTCGAACCCATGTCCCCTGCATTAGCAGGCAGATTCTCAACCACTGCGCCACCAGGGAAGCCCAAAACATGTCTTCTTACACATTATTTCATTTATCTTTGAAGCAAACTCTGAAGTAGGTGTCATTATGGAGAAACTGATATTCACAGAGGTTAAGCGACTCACCCAGAGTCACTCCTTCTCTTCTGTGTAACACTGAAGAAGCAAGTACTATGCTGGGTGCAAGGAAGGAGATAAATAAAATCACACTTCCTTGCCTTTCTCCTTATCCTCTTTGTTGATCCCCGGCCTCCACCAAAACCCACATACCTAGATAAGCAATTCTGAAAAGATTCTTCTTTTTCTTGCGGTACGAGGGCCTCTCACTGTGGCCTCTCCCGTTGCGGAGCACAGGCTCCAGACGCGCAGGCTCAGCGGCCATGGCTCACGGGCCCAGCCGCTCTGCGGCATGTGGGATCTATGGATTCTTAACCACTGCGCCACCAGGGAAGCCCTGTTCTGTTTGTTTTGATGCAGAAATTATCATAGATTTAACTATGGAGCCCCGTCAAGCTGGCTCCTGTTTTTTTTTTTTTTTTTTTTTTTTTGCGGTACACGGGCCTCTCACTGTTGTGGCCTCTCCCGTTGCGGAGCACAGGTTCCGGATGCACAGGCTCAGCGGCCATGGCTCACGGGCCCAGCCGCTCCGCGGCATGTGGCATCTTCCCGGACCGGGGCACGAACCCGTGTCCCCTGCATCGGCAGGCGGACTCTCAACCACTGTGCCACCAGGGAAGCCCGCCTCTGCCTTGTTGAACTGAAAGCTGTACTTGAAAACAGATTGGACACTTTTCTGGAAAAACCAAACAGGGCATGAAGCTCTCTGGTCTTGGGCTGTTCATCACCACTTTATAAGATAATTCCCTCCAGCAACTCACCTACACTATTACAAATAAGCATTTTCAAAATTCAATGTCAAGGTAGTTATTATTTTATTTACTACTGCTTCTGAAAATTAGTTATATTTCCCCAAATATATCCTGTAGTCTCTACTGCTTCTATCCCCTTTGCACTGACGTTATTTACTATATTCCTTCATCTGTCAATATTCCCTCTGCATATAGTCAGTCCCCTGTGTCTACTGGCCTTTCTTCAACTAATTATAAAGTGTGTAATATCTAAAGTGAGGTCCTTACTTGATCCATTGCATTACCTGGTCATAAACATTTCTTCAAGATCTGATATTAATTCTTGCAGATCCTGTTGATTTGCTAATTCATATAGCTGTCCTAATGTCTTCACTACGCACATTTGGTAGTTTAAGGCATTTTTCACTTCAGGTAAGGATTTTTATTTTATTTTTTTAATTACAAGAAGATGGAGTCGCGAAGAGAGTCTGCTGAATGGAACTTTCTTAGCCCTACTTACCTCTGCAATCAGATCATGTAGCTCTCCTTCACTAGGGCAGCATCCTAATGACCTGATAATTGTTCCAATCTCTCTGGGGAAAAAAGCAGTCAATTGCTTTAGCATATAAACTCTGAAAAGACAAGTGCTATATTTCTCTAAATTATTTCAGAGCAGATGTAGCATAGCAAACAAAGTCATACAATAAATATTGCCTCAAGAGGATGGAAGATACTTTCTGAGGAAAGGAAAAGGCAGACAAGTGAACCCAAGAGAGAAGAAAGAAGTATTTGTGTTGACTGGCAAGTGCAAGCCCTGCCTGGGCCGAAATCAAAGAGTTCTAGAAAAGGAAAAGAAAGGAGGGAGAAATAAGAAAAAGAAAGGTCAGCCACTTACTAACTGGCTTTAAGTGTTAGTTAATTCTTTGGAGACTCAGTTTCCACATCTGTAAAATGAGGATGATAATTTCTAATGTGGCGAAGTCACATTAGTGGCAGAGAACCTAAAAGCATGAGCTCTAGTGGCAGACTGCTAGGGTTCAAACTCCAGCCCTACAATTTGCTAGACTGGGCAGGTTAATCCCGGTGCACATAATCCTGCCTGCGAGGTAAAAACCAGTACCTGCCTTGAAATACTCAGAACTGGACTGGGAGGGGCTAAGGGCAAAGAGCCATCGTAACATAAGCACAGCTTTCGGCAGAGCAGCCACCCAGTAAATATCAGCTACTCCCCACCCCGCCCCATGGTAATTTAATTTAATTCAACAAATAGCCTAAGGAAAGTAGAAATTATATTCAGTACCCCCTGGGTGCTGAGACAGAGGATTTATAATAGATTGTTAAATATTTCCACTTAAAATGATTAAAAAGTTGTGATATTTTGAATGTTAATTTCACAAATATTCACTTAAATATTTAGCTTCTTTACCATTCTGGCTAATATTAGTGGTGTTATATTTACTGACTATTTTACTGAGAAAATATTTGAAATAAGAATTTTTAAGTTCTTTACTTAAGGAGGCTGCAGGATGAGTATCAACTTAGGAGAAAAACCTAAAGTCAGTAACTGTGGAAGACAGGATTCTTGACGTTCACTGCTTGATCTGAAGGCCAGCTAAACATGTAAGGTCTTCAGGCCAACTCTATTTCACATCTCCCTGAGCACCTTAGGCTCAACACCTCTGCACTGCTTTTCCTGCCCACAGCCCTCATTGAGGCAGGATCTGAACAGGATGCTACTACTACACACCAAAAATATTTTATGAGATTATACTTTCTCTCAAGAAGCCCCTAAAGATGACCCATGAAACTGGCCAACACCGATGTAGTAATGTTCTTGTAACGTCAGACGGGGCTATTGCATACATTAGAACAAACAGTTCATGAGGCAGGGACAAAAAATATAATTTGAGAAGTATTCACAGATTCATCCCCTCCGTAACCTCCTAGGCCTTCTGTTCTTCGAAGCAGAGAACCGCTTCAACTCCAGACTCAGGACAAGAATAAAGGCTTCCTTAACTCACAGAGACAAAGGGAGGGTAGGGAAGGGAGATGGGAAAGGCCTGAACGCCCTTGCAGGTTAGAAATCTCAGGGAGGGGGGGTGGGACAAAAGAGAAATTTCAGGCCTGAGCCGTGCAGTACCGTAGCTACTACCTCCATCTGGCTATGGGGCACTAGCAATGTGACTAAACCAGACTGAAATGGGCTCTAAGTAAAAAATATACATGGACTTCAAAAACTTAGTGTGAAAAAAATGTAAAATATCTCATTAAAAATTTTTAATCGATTACATGTGGAAATCATAATATTTTAGACATATTAGTTAAATAAAACATATTGTTAAAATGCCCTTTCTTTTACTTCTTTAAAATATGGTTACTAGAAAATTTTAAATTATATGTGTAATACTCCTTTTGATGGTACTTTTCTAGGCAATAGCTGCCATCATGATTCACACTTTGCAAAGACAAGTACAGTACATAAAGAGAAAAGTAGAATTACAGTGTGCTGTGTCAGCAACATAATCAATCCCCTCCTTGTGCTGCTCTGAGAAACTATCAACCTTATTTCTTTATTTATTGGCCGTACCTCGCAGCATGTGGGATTTTAGTTCCCTGACCAGGGGTTGAACCCGTGCCCCCTGCAGTGGAAGCGTGGACTCTTAAACCACTGGACCACCAGGGAAGTCCCTCAACCATACTTAAATGAAGTCCTTTGTCACTGACCCAGGTCTCATGTCTTCTGCCAACATCTATGAAACAGTAACAGACTAACTTACTAGCTTTCAAGGGGGATAAAAGCAAACCATAGACTTGACATGTATAAGGATGCACAGGAGAAAATCTGGGCTGGAAGCACAGATCTGGTAACAAAGCCACGGGAGCAGAAGAGCTCCTCTAGGAAGAGCATCCCAGCTGGAACAGATGACGAGCCAGGAAGAGCTCCGAGGAGTACCTACACTGACACAATGGTCTAGTCCCCACACTAGACACAGGGAAGAGGAGCCAGGGGGTAAAAGCAGAAATTCAGGACAGGGTGGTGCCATGGAAGCTAAGGAAAGAGATGGAAAAATTGAGTCATCTTTGGTGTCAAATGCTGCTGGGAGGTCGAGTAAGACAAGTTCTGAGAAATGTCCACTGGATTTAGTGAAGAAGGAAATCAGTTCTGATTTTTTTGTTTTTGTTTGTTTTGTTTTTGAGTTTTTTGGGTTTTTTTTGCAGTACGCGGGCCTCTCACTGCTGTGGCCTCTCCCGTTGCGGAGCACAGGCTCCGGACGCGCAGGCTCAGTGGCCATGGCTCACGGGCGCAGCCGCTCCGCGGCGCGTGGGATCTTCCCGGACCAGGGCACGAACCCGCGTCCCCTGCATCGGCAGGGGGGGGGGGCGGCCGGGCGGACTCTCAACCACTGCGCCACCAGGGAAGCCCATTTCTGATTTTTGATCAAGGATGTTTCACTTGAAAGTGGGGGAGAAATCAGATTGCACTGGGTTGAGGTAGATGGATCTATAAAGTGAAGGGGAAGAAGAGATGTCTGGAGGGGGACATGGTGTCAAGGAAGATTTTTTTTTTAAATTTAAGACCAGAAAAAGGTGAGCATGTTTTAATACCAATGGGAATGAGCCAGTGCAAAGTAGAAGGCTGATGAGGGCACCGTCAACTGAGCAGGTGGGCTTCCAGAGGAGGTGGGAAGGGCTGGGCCAGGTGCTTAGTGCTGTGTCCACACAGCCATCCGATCTGAGGTCCTGCCACCAGCAAGTTGCTACCTGTGAGAGGGTGGCAGGATCCTCCTTGTAGCCTTAGAAAATTTTACTCTATCCCTCTTTCTAGTTCCCTTTGAAGAACCTATCACCATCTTCTGTTTTTCCGAGTGCATCTAGCTGGATTGTCACACTCTGCCTACGCAAACCACAGAAAACAAAGCCTAATGATGTCCTCTAAGTATGGAGAAACTTCCTTCTCTCTAGTCCTGAAACACAAAGGCCTGATGATATAAGAGAAAAGGGCAAAGACCCTTCGGCTGATGAGTCCACAGTGGCCTAAAGAACAATACAAAACTCAAGAGCTCACTTGTGCACAACGGAAAGGTCTGCTAGCTCACCCACCCTGCCTCCTGTGGAAAGTGAACCTCTTCCTCTGTGCTCCGGGGCTCTGGAAGCTGTGGTCGGGATCCCTTCCGCTGAACTTGGCACAGAGGAAGGCGATGCTACCCCCGCCTTCAGGCCTCGACATCTCAGCAGTACAGTGATCTTCCTTCTTGTTTTTCCTAAAGACTGCATCAGCCTTGGGACCCCAGGGCAACATGAGAGAGGATAAGGAGAAGCCAACACACGGCTAATGTTGACCTTTTCCTGGTCTTGGCACATGGGAAAATGGAATTTGATTAGATTTAGAAAAATACAGAAATGTGACACATCTTTGTTCTCTATTTCATATCCGTAAGCCTAGTTTGTGGCTGGGAGTGGGATATGAAGGCCTGCCTCGCCTCTGTGTGGAAAGGCAAGGTCCTCTGCCAAGAGTGAACGGGGAGGCACGGGCTCTCATCTGCCACTCACCACCACGACCTGCCTCTCTAGGCACCCGTTTTCCAGATGGCGAGCCTGGACCTCGCTCTCACACTCTAAAGCCTGTGCTTCACCGGCTCTGCTGCATATTCTCTGTGTGACCCTCCAGAACCCCTCTCCATTCTTCCCCTGCTCCACTCCCTGAGGGCCTAACCTCCTACTGCACAGGCTTCCTTGGCCCAAGGCTTCCGGTTGCAGCTGTCCAACTCAAGGCAGAGCATTGCAGGTTTCCGTTGCTGGGTCACATGCTGCCCAAAACGTAGGGGCTTAAACAACAATGAGTTCTGATTTTTCATAATTCTGTGGGTTGGCTGGACGGTTCCTCCACTGGTTTCCCCTGGGCTCACTCACACAGCTGTGTTCAGCAATTAATTAACCTACACATATGGTTGTTCAATATTCTATAGTCAACCATTCAAAATTGCCATTACCACCATCCTGGATTCTGGGCTCCTTAACTTCCATCCTGCCTGCTCTAATGATCCATAACCCTGAGCATCTCTAACTTTTACTTTCCTGTTCCTGCAAAGCACTGCTGGAAGAAAATAATTAACAAAAAAACAAAACAACCATGGCCCACTACAAATTCATGCCATCCAGCATCAAGTGTCCTGGATGTCGCCTGACAATCCTTTCTTTCACCTCCTTTTGATTCCCTAGAAAACGCCTCCCAAAACAGCTCTTCTGAGGCCTCTCTTGCCTCAAGCTCCAAAGCACTGACTCCCTTAATTTCAGCAGAAAACCCCGTCACCTCCTTCACTGAACAGATGAAAACTGCTAAGGCTGGCACCATCACCAACCCTCCGACCACCTGCTCAGTCAGCTCAGGCTGCTCTAACAACACACCACAGACTGGGTGGCTTAAACCACAAACATTTATTTCTCATAGTTCTGGAGGCTTGAAGTCTGAGATCAAGGCACCAGCGGATTCGGGGTCTGGTGACCACTCTCTTCCAGGCTTGCAGACAACCACCTTCTTGCTGTGTCCTCACAGGGTGGGAGGACAGCAGGCTCTCGTCTCCCTCTTCTTCTG